AAAACAATTCCAACTGCAATAAGCATCAAAAAGAATAAAACACTTAAGAACAAATTTAATAAGAAAAGTGCAAAACTTAATACCCTAAAAGCCAGAGTATTGTTCAAAGAAATTAAAGATCTAAGTAACTGGAAAAACATCTCCTGCTCATGATTGGAAGACTTCACACTGTTAAATGGCAACATTTCCTAAAACATACCCTAATGTCCAGACTCAGCACAGTCTCCACAAGGATGCCAGTGGACTTCTCTGCAGAAACTGACAAGCTGACTCAAAATTCATACAGAATTGCAAGCGACCCCGAATGGCCAAACATTCTTGAAAAGAAGAACAAAATAGGAAGGTTTCAGAACTTACCACGAAGTAACAGTAATCAAGGCACTGTGGTGCCAGCAGCAGGACAAACTCACAGATCAATGAAATGGAGCTGAGGGTCCAGAAGTAAACCCTCACGCCAATGGTCAAGTGATATTTGACAGCATGTGAAGTCCATTCAGTGGGGAAAAGACAGTCTTGTCAACAAATGGGCTGGGACAACTGGATATTCACATGCAAAAGAATCAAGATGGCTACTCACCTCACTTAAATATTCAAAAATTAACTCAAAATGGCTCAAAGACCTAAATGTAAGAGAGAAAACTATAAAACACTTAGAAAAAAATAGAGTGAATCTTCACAATCTTGGATTTGGTAAGGATTCTCAGACATGACACCAAAAGCATGAGCAATCAGATTAAAAATAGATAAATGGGGCTTCATCAAAAGTAAAACATTTTGTGCTTCGAAGGACAGCATCAAGAGAGTGAAAAGACAGCTCACATAACGGAAGAAAGTACTTGCAAACCCTATGTCTGGTAAGGACTTAATGTCCTAAATGTGTAAAGAATCCCTGCAACTCAAAGACAACCCAACTGAAAAATGGGCAAAGGGCTTAAGCAGATGTTTCTCTGAAGAAGACATACAAGTGGCCAATGAACACATAAGATTGTCAATACCATTAGTCGCCAGGGAAACACAAATTAAAACCTGAGACATCACACCCACTAGACTGGCTGGAATAGAAATTTCAGGTACTGACAAGTGTTGGAAAGGATATCAAGAAATCTGACTGTTCACTATAACTTACCACATTAACAGACTGAAGGGGGATGTCAGTTGATTATCTCAATATACGCAGAAAAAGCATCTGCTAAAGTACAACATTCACTGATGATAAAACTTCCTATTAACTAGTCGCAGAAGGGAACCTTAGTCACCTGGAAAAGGTATTTTGAAAAACTGACCGCATATCCCATGCTTATGGTGAAATATCAAAAATATTTCCTTTAAAAAGTGAGACTAGAAGGGAGGGTGCAGCTCAGCTGTGGAGTGCGTGCTTGGCATGCACAAGGTCCTGGGTTCAACCCCCAGCACCACTAAAGATAAATAAATAAGTATAGACCTAATGGCCTCCCCAAAAATTTTCTTAAAAAATTTAAAGCAAGAATAAGACAAAGATGCCCCTTCTGGCAACTTCTGTCCACACCCACACTGCTGGCCCTAGACAGCCCTGTAAGACAGGAAAAAGAGGTAAGAAGTGTGTAGCACTGTGTTCAGTTCCAACTCCGTTTAACAGAAAACCCAAATAATTGAGTAAACAGGGTAAGAATGCAATCCTCTCTGGTCCCTGAGGCCTCCCCAGCCTCCTGCAGGGTCCAAGGGCCCTGCTCTGGGCCTCTGGGTGCAGCCGTCACCACCCCAAGTTGTGAAAGCAGGGGCTCACTGAGGGTCCGGGGCGAGTACATGGCTCCTCATCCTACACACTTTCAAAGTAAACCTGGAAAAACCCTTGAATGTTTAGAGGAACAGTGCAGCCATTTGGTGAGGGTTTTGAAAACACACGCATCGTATCTACGGAGACAGTTACTGCCTCGGAAATTTAGCGTCTTATCCCCCTGGCCTCACCAGTTATTTGCTCTATGGTTATTTTTCTCAGTGGTGTAACAGATGGAAATGCAGCCTAGCGTGTAGAATATCAGGGATGGCAAAGACTGCGTGTACTTAGGTGACGAGCGCACTTTGTTAAAAGCCAAAATGAAAGAGCCATCTGGACAGCATGACGCAGTACCCTGCCAGGGAAGCACCACGGGGCAGTCGTTCCGGAGCACTTCCCGAGGGCAGGCGCAGATTTGACGGCCGGGCCCCTGGCTGTGTCCAGGAGGCGTGGCACCTCGGGCCCGGCATAAACGGCACTATTCTTTACAGCCAGTCACTGCCTTTTCAGTCTACTGTCTAAACAGTGTTTTCTTGTTATGAAACATTTTATATGCACGGAAGCAGGGGTAAAATCGCATGTCCCCATGGGGGCGGCAGGTGCCACAGGCTCACTGCCCAGCTTACAAAGCACCCAGTTCCCACGAGGAGGCCTCTGGCCTCCCAACAGCTGCTTCTGCGTGATTGCAGATCGAGGCTGCAGGGGTCCCTCTCCCAGAAATCCTGCGACAGGACTGATCCCCTCACCAGCTGGTCCACAGGCACAGGACCTGTGGCCTGGGGTGCATCCCGGGGACAGCACCCTCAAACACAGAGTAGGCAAGGCTGGTTTAGGGGCCAGCAGGGGCCCTGAGAGCTGACCGTGTGCTGGAAGAGACCTGAGGGCCCAGGCTGATCCCCATCCAGGAGCCAGAGGGAATCCTGACCCTGCCACCCTTGCTGAGGTGACACTGATGTAGGAGCCTCAGGGTGGCTTCCCTGACACCCAGGCTTGCTGGGTGGGTCACTGTCTGGGGTCTTCCATGGTCCCCCTTTCCCCACTTCAGCCCTACCAGGGGTCACCCACCATCCACACCTTTGTACACCTCGACCCACTCCCTGTTCCCAGGCCACGTGGCCCCTGCATCTCCAAGGAGGCTCAGTCTGCCCTGAACTGCTCTCCTGGCCCCGTCTCCCAAGGGCACAGCTGCCATCTCCAAGTCCACCAGCAGCGGCCAGGCATGAAGCAGGTGACAGGCAAAAATGGGGGCCAGGACTCTGGAGTTTGGACCCTTTCGTGCAGGGTCACGATGGAAGAACCCTCCACGTTGGCTCTGGCCAGCTCAGGGCAGTGTCGAGGCCTTGAAGACACAGTGGCTGAAGGAGATGGCCAGGGGTTCCCCGCGGCCCCAGGCCCTGGCCCAGGGTGAATGGGGGCTCCAGGTGTCCATGAGAAGGTGGACAGGTGCTAGAAGTCCCACGACTCTCCCGCCCTGGGCAGGAGTCTGCTCTGGAAATGGGGAAAAGTCTTGGTCTTGACAGATGTGCTTCGGCCTTGCTAGACAGGTGCCCCTGGCTGGTGAGCTCTCAGGGCTCTGGCCCCAGAGAGCCTCACTCATCCTCTAGTGGTCTGGGCACCCAGCCCCGAGGCAGACAGAGGGTGGTGGACCAGGTCAGTGGGGACCTGGGCAGGGAGCCTCCCAGGATGGCTGTCTTGGTCAGGACTGGTTATGGAGAGACGTACAGCAAATTGAGGCAGCCAGTTCCTCGCCAGCTCCAGGCTGCCCAGCGCTCCAGGCTGTGGAGAACAGGAGCATTGAAGGGCCTTAAAAAGCAACAGAAGTGCTTTGCAGGTGCCTGGGAAGACACAGAATGTGGGAGGTCGTTTCCAGGCCCGCTTGGCCCCTAGGCCAGCTCCCTTCTCTGGAGCATTTACAGACCTCAGACGGGACTGTCCCCTTGAAAACTGAGACTGGAGTCGGGTTCTGAGTTTGAACAGCAGGGGTTCCGGTCTCGGGGGTACACACCTGAGGAGGGAGGGATAGCCCCTGGCTTCCTCCCCACTCCCATCACCAGGCCTGCACTCTCAGCAGCCGCACTTCAAGAACTGGGTTAGTTTCCCTTTAAAATTTGCCGTGAATTTTTCCCGGGAAAACCTAGGGAGAATGGTCTTCAACAGGCAAGTTAATGCAGTTTTATCCTTACTCCCAGGGGCGTAACTGTGAAGCTGCACCTCTGCTGCCTGCTGAGTAAAAGTCCTTCCCCTTCTAGGGGTGGGGAGGACCCCAGCCCCACCACTGACCTGCGGGTCATTACAGGCAGAGAAGAGCCTGAAGTTACGCTCTCCTGTGGTCATAGCACATCCCCATGCCCACTTGGCCAGCACGATCCGCAGCGCCTGCAGGTGAGGGCAGGGGAGGGGTTGCCCACAGCACCCTCAGGCCCAAGCTAGTGACTGCAGCTGGAGCGAACACTGAGATCGCCTCCTGTGTGTCTTCCTCCTGCCACCAGGGACCTCCAACAGTCCCAGCCCTGAGTGGGGCAGGGGCAGGGGGGCAGTCCCTGGGAGAGGATTGGACCAACGTCTTCATACTTGGTACTTGGGTGCCCAATTCCTAAATTAACTCAGCACACTGTCAAGAGGCAGCAGCAGGATGACCAGCAGGTCCCTGGCCATCGGCCATCCTTTGGACAAACCTGACTCCTGGTGATGCCATCCTGCAGGGTGCATGGTGATTCCATATCTTCCCGTCAGACACCAGCCAACCCGTTGTCTCGCTCCAACCTGGTCCCCACGGAAGCTCTCCACGGAGTCCTCAGCTCTGAGGCCACCAGGCCACGCGTGGATGCCCTGCACACACACATTCACGCTCTCACAGAGACAGCATTTCACCTGAGGCGCTCAGGTGTTCTCTAGTAAAAAACAAATGAGAAATTTCTCTGAAATAAGCATGAATGTTTCCGTTGTCACTGGTGACAAACCTAGTTAGTGAAAGTAATTAGTTTCATTTCTGCAGTCTCTGCACCGAACTGTTACTTCATTTTTTTGTTCGGATCAGTTTCTTCTCACCGCAGCCAGAAACAGTCTATTGAGTTCTTCTGAGCCATGTGGTTACAGGAGGAAAGGGCATCGGAGTCAGGTCCACAGAGTAAACCTCAAAATACTTTATTGGCTGCTTTGTACAAATTGGGAAGCTCTATTTTGGTCCATTTCAAGGACATGCCACCATCTTTTAGGAAAGTTGGGATGGAACATGGGGTTTTTAAAAAAGTTTTTAAATATCTGTAAGACACCCACAAGTAGGCTTGCGGCATCAATTATAACACTGTATTAACAAAAACAAAACCCTGAAAAACAAGACAAAAGGAACACATAGACGCCCACGGCCCACTAGGAGCAGCAGTGCCTGCCCAGGGCGCGAAAGCTGCCTGGGGTGCTGCCGGCGGGTGGGGACCAGTGTCCGGCCCTGGGACCAGCTGGCCTGGGTGGTGCAAAACAACACCCCCAGCTCGAGCCCTCTCTCCCCAGCGGACCCCCAGGCCCTAGGGCCTCGCAGCCCTAGGACAGGTAATACACGCTGTAGGCAGCCACGGCGGGGCGAAGAGCCTTGGCACGTGGGGCCGGGGGCCCGCCGCGCCCCCGCCATACACCGCCGGGGAGCGGTGAAGGTGGGCGCCCAGGGGGAAGGGTAGGGCGAATGAGGGCAGCAGCGGCTTGGCCGCAAGCTTCAGCTTCTCCAGCTCGGCCTCCTGCAGTCGCTTGGCCTTTGCTCGGCGATTCTGAAACCAGATCTTGACCTGCGTCTCGGAGAGGCTCAGGCTGCTGGAGAACTCGGCGCGCTCGGCGATGGGCAGGTACTGCTTCTGGCGGAACTTGCGCTCCAGCGCCAGCAGCTGTGCGGCGGTGAAGGGCGTCCGCGGCTTGCGGTTGTTCTTGTGTTTCCGGAGGGTGCAGGGTGGAGGGCTGGGGACGCCTGAGGGGAAGAGAGCATGAAACGGGCGCTCAGACGCCGGCAGTGCGCGCCCCTTTCCGACACGCCCATATCCCTGCAAAGGTCGGTTCTGGAGGCAAGTCCCAACCAACTCCGTGACCACGGCCCTCAGAGCAGAGGAGACTCCAAAAGTCTCCGTGGTACGAGAAGTGAGGCACCGCGGAGGCGGCGCGAGGAGAGGGGGGCCGCTGTGGACTCGGGCTCTGCCCCTCAAATCGGTGGCCCTGCGCCCCAGGGGGGAAGGTAACTCTGCGCATTTGGAGAAGTGAGGAAGCCGGGCGGGAAGCCGCCGCAAGAACTGAACAGTGAGCGCAGAGGCAACCATCCACCCGTTAACCATCTCGTGGAGGGGCGGGGACGCAAGGGGTGCTCCGGCCAGAGAGAAGCCCGGGGTCTTGGTTTGCGGGCTCCGTCCCAGGGTAGAGCAGAAGCCTGTCTGGCATGGGGGAGCCGCTGGGGGATTTGCGTGCAGGAGGGGTCGGTGGACTCGTGAGGGCTGATTTCTTTCTCTGCACTCAGGCCTGCGCGTTAGCGGCTGGTTACTTTCCGAAGTTACGAGCGACAGCGCCCTTCCCGCCCTGGTCCTCCGATCCTTGGCCAGGCAGGCTCCTCTCGCGGCCCAGAACCGTGCAACAGGGCACTTACGTGGGGAGGATGAGGGGGCGACCGGCGGGAACCAGGCCCCGGGTTCCGCGGTGCCCCGCGGCCTCTCCTCCCGGGGTTCCGCGCGCTCTGCCTCCAGCAGCGACTGGACGCTGAAGGGCAGCGAGCCAGGCCCCGCGCGGTCCCGGCCGCACGTCCTGAGCCCAG